TGGGAGGGATGGGGTGGCTGGGTGATAGACACTGGGGAGAGTATGTGCTATGGTGAGCACTGTGAAGTGTGCAAGACTGTTGAATCACAGATCTGTACCTCTGAAGCAAATAATACATTGTGTTAAAAAAAAAAAAAAGAAGATAGCAGGAGGGGAAGAATGAAGGGGGGGGAATCGGAGGGGGAGACGAGCCATGAGAGACGATGGACTCTGAGAAACAAACTGAGGGTTCTAGAGGGGAGGGGGCTGGGGGGATGGGTTAGCCTGGTGATGGGTATTAAAGAGGGCACGTACTGCATGGAGCACTGGGTGTTAACCGCAAACAGTGAATCATGGAACACTACATCAAAAACTAATGATGTAATGTATGGTGATTAACATAAAATAATAAAAATAAATAAATAAAAATGATGACTCATGTACTTAAGATTTAGCCTACTCGTCATTAAAATTTAAAGAAAACAGTCATTTGAACAGCACATTTTGAAAGTCTAATGTATACCATGTGATTGTGATGACTCTCGATTCATTAAAAAGCTCTTCGTTAGCATATACAAATAGTTAACAAGGTATGATCGACATTTCATTCATTACAGAAGGGTTGCTTTTCCCAATAACATCTATTAACATGAGATAAAAGTGGAAATAAATCTTCACCACACCTCTGAAAGAGAGGCAGGGTGGAACATTTTCTCAAGATGAAGTTCATCCATACTCTCCTTCAAAATCCCCCTACTTGTTAGGAATTGACAACAGATTATCATTTGTGAAGGGAGCAGGTGGGACACTAACTTCAGGATAATAACAGTCACTGGCCCTTAACAAACCCGATGTGCTCACCATGGTGCGAGGGATTGTAGTGCCTCACTCATCCCATTCCATTTAATCCTCACAACCCCATGGGACAGGTTCCACTGCTATCCTCAGTTACAGGTGAGGACACGGATTCACAGGGGTTAACTAATTTGTCCAAAGGCACGTGGCTAGAGAGGGCCAAGTCAGGACACAAATCCATGCTGTTTGACTTCATGGTCTAAGGTCTGCAATTGAGTAAGTCACAAAAAGCTGGGATATACACATCACGATGAGTGAGAACGAGAAAAAGAGAGCAGCGAGTGTGAGAAGAGAGAGAGGACAGGCAAAGACTAACCAGATGGAAAGACCACTGTGTGAAAAGGAAGAGCCCTGGATAAAGCATCAGGAGGGCTGGGACCCTTCCCAGGGATGCACCAGTGTGACGGAGGGGAAACTAATATGTACCCAAGGTGACTAAGACAACCAAAGCAACAAGACAATTATTAACTCCAGGGATGGGAGCACAGGACTGTGCAAGGAAGGAAAAGTGACCGTCGAGTAGGTAGGATTTGTCCCCAAATCCTTTGATGCTACTCTCACAGCGTCTCTATCCCCTCCCCCGAAGCTCAGCCAACCTTAGTGACTCATTCAGAACTGACAGAATGCGGCAGAAACTATGCTGAGTAACGTCCCATGTGAAGTCAGTTTCGGCCGAGCTCTCTCGAACCTGTTTTACTACAGAGTTTGGCATTGGGTTTTCAGGCAAAGCACAGCTTTTCCATTTTCCATTTGCTAATCACAGATTTTCCACTTACTGTTGTCCCCTGTCAATATATCATCCTTAGGGACTTCAAGGCATGACTGTAGCGAAGCTGAATTTGGCCATTCCTGTATCTTCCAGCCATACCACTATACTTCACCATTAACCTTTGACACGAACTAGCCAAAACAACAGTATCAATAGCAGTCAATGCAATCCAGAAAGGTAGGATATTTAAATATTTAAAGATAGGAAAGATTGTCAATTACTGGTTGAAAACCTCTCCCTTATTCTATTTTATGCCCTAGAAAGTTCTACCAAATTCATTTGCTGTAAAACTCTAAGCAATCTGCCTAATATTTTAGTCTCCACATTTCTAGTCCAACAAACTTCAGAAATAACATTTGGTTGAGTGGATAAATCTCTTGAAAATACTTCACCAAGAAGTCTTCTCATGTGTAAAATAAACTTTCATCTTATTAATTAAATCAGCAAATATTTACAGATAAGGTACTCTGAGGTAAAATGATATGACAGAGTCTCTGTCCTCAAAGAGATTATAATAAATGTGAGTACCTAATTAAATATGAGGCAGACTATAATGAGTTCTATAATAAGAAAGGCACTAGGGGAGAGGTCTAAGAAAGAGTTATACAAAGGATTTGAATACCCTCTCTCAAATCTAAGCTTTTCACTTTCTTTTACCTTTATCTACACCAATACTCTAGACCTTGTCTTTATCTGAAATTGTTCCATCCTTCAAATCTTAAATTTTGGAACCCTCTTTCAGACTAAATTCTAGATCCCTGTTGAGGGGAAACCCTTATTGCCCACTCCCCCATGAGTCTCCACAGAGGAGAGAGGACTTCGGTTGACTCCCTAAGGAAGGCAAGTGGTTCATCACCATACCCCACCTTCATTTGGGAGGAAGGAAAAAGAAGCAACAATTTATCAGAAGCTCTGATTAGGCCTCTAATCAGAAGCTCTGAATCTAGTGGTTGTTGGATCCTGTTCAGTGATAAATAAGCTGTCCCTCACTCCCTGTGTTTTATTCTCAAGAACTGAGAACACAGAGAGGAAGATGGATGACTTATTATCCCTCGAACATCCAACAATGCCTTTATCTTTTATAAGCCCTATAAACCATCAACCCTGGATCAATTTAGCTGTTGTTCTTTCTCCCCATCTTAACAAAAAAAAAATGTGAAAGGCATAGGAATTGGATACATTACTAAACTTGATCTCCATCTTTGCTAGACACTATTTACTACCTCATAATCTTCTCCAGGTCCCTGTTCAGTTTCAACTTTCATTTTCTTTCTTTTCTTTTTTTTTTTTTTTTTTGTAATTTTATTTATTTATTTGACAGAGAGTACAGGCAGGGGGAGGGGCAAGGAGAGGGAGAAGCAGGCCCCCTCTGAGCAGAAAGCCCGACGTGGGGCTCAATCCCAGGACCCTGGGATCAGGACCTGAGCCGAACGCAGACGCTTAACTGACTGAGCCACCCAGGCGCCCCTCAACTCTCATTTTCTACAGAAGCTAACCCAAACCTAAGTAAACTCTGACTCATAGCAGATGACCTCGGCTTCAATTTCATTGAGAGAACAGTAGTATCTGGGTTTGGAATAAACGAACTTCCTGCACACACCCACCTCCATAAACTTTCTGTCTCCCGGTCAATGCTAATCTCTGAATGGGCTGTGGCTCCCATGCTCCATCCATTCTCCCCTGTCTCTCCTGACACTTCAACTTTCGAGTCCAACAATTCTTTCCTCTCTTCATATAGACACACTCAAAACCCATTTTAAAAACAAAGCCAAAGAACAACAACAACAAAACTCTTTTGAAGTCTGAATATTATACTTGTTCTCCTTCCTCTAACAGCCAAGCTTTTCAAAAAAGCAATCCACCCCAGCTTCTCTGCCTTCCCACCTGTTCGGCAGGGCAGCCTAATGCACACCAACCCCTCCCCAAAGTCATTCCCATCAATGTGACCCAATGACCTCCATGTTAACAAATTCCACAGACGCTTCTCATTTCTTCTTTGACTTGATCTCTCTATAGTATTTGATGTTTAACAACTTCTGTCCTAAAACTATCTTCCACAGGCTTTTCCTAACATCATCACCTCCCAAGGCTCCTTCTATACTTCAGAATGCTCTGTCTTTATTGGTCAAACTTTAAATTTTAACATTTTCCCAGGATTCTATTCTTGGCTTTCCTCTCCTCCAACTAAAGGTTCCCTGGGGCGGTGGAAGGGGCAGGAACATTTACACCATGGATTATCCCACGCGCTGTAAATCCATACGGCTAAATCTGAATACATTTGCTTCCTCCCCAACCCGCCCCCGCCCCCACCAGCGCTTACCTCTGTCATGGCACTGCTCTGTATTTGTATAAACAAATCTGTCTGTCTTCCCTGCCCTGGCAAGCCTGGGAGATGGACACAGCACACCACTGTCAGCAGTGCTAGCTTCTTGAACAGGGGCTGGGAGTGTGGATGGGGGCAACAACACAGCGAGAGCAAGGCATCTTAGAGGACCTAGGAATACGTAGCTATGAAAACTACCTGGGAGGAACTTCACTGAACTCTACTGTGAATATTTTGAGGGAAGTAACAGTCTATTTATTCATCTCTGAATCTCTTGTGCTTAGCACAAGTGCCTAGCACATGGTGGGTATTCAAATCATATTTTTTGAATGAGGGAAGTAGAAAAAGAATGAGATATCTGAGATTAGCTTTGAAGAACTGGTAGGATTTCAACAGCCTTAGATGGAAGAGAAATCAGTGAAGCCAGGGGGAATGGGAAAAGTCCAGGCACAGACAGAAATGCTGGACCGGTGGGGTGCATAAGGACGAACAATCTCAGTAATTCTAGAATGCCAAGGTATGGTTTTATAAGACTTGAGGATGGAGCTGCAGATGTAACTTGACAGGCAACAGTGAGCCAGTGAGGTCTTTCCAGCAATGTGATTTGTAATTGGAAAAGAATTAACTGGAACAGAGGATACCTCTTAAGTAGCTATCAAATGAATTACTTAAGTGAGAATAAATGAAGACCTGAACCACAGCAATAGAGTAAAAGTAGAGGAGAAGGGAAAATATTATTTTAAGACCGAAGGTAAGAAATAGACTTTTTGAATATTCCGAAACAATGGAAATTAGTTGAAGTATCAAATTTAAAAGAGGTGACAATTTTAAAGCACTAAAATTAAAAGGCCTAAAATGGAAAATGTTGTAAATACTTTTAAAAAAATACCTTTAATGCATTGGTTTCTTGACAGTACTTGGTATACAGCATACTTATTAAGTTTATTGTGTTGGCAGGAACTCCAACACGCTTCAGTTGACACATGGTTGGTAACTGAAGAGGACATTCTGTACATGCTTAGGAAAGGTCATTCTGTAACTTTTGAGAAGGAAGTCAGCAGCATATCACCATACCGTGAAACTGTTGTTTGCATTTTTTGTGCTTGCTTCGGCTACACTGGCATCTGAGAGGTCAACTTCGTCGAATATCAGAGACTGTTAATGAAGAAGAACACAAACACATTAAATGAAAACCTAACTCAATGTTTGTCAATAATTTTTATTTTTTTTATTTTTTTATTTTTTGCTATCAGGTCATGACTATGAAGCTGTGTTAGGAATTAGGAATAGAAAGTGAATAAACGGGCGCCTGGGTGGCTCAGTTGGTTAAGCGACTGCCTTCGGCTCAGGTCATGATCCTGGAGTCCCTGGATCGAGTCCCGCATTGGGCTCCCTGCTCGGCAGGGAGTCTGCTTCTCCCTCTGACCCTCCTTCCTCTCATGCTCTCTGTCTCTCATTCTCTCTCTCTCAAATAAATAAATAAAATCTTTAAAAAAAAAAAAAAAGAAAGTGAATAAAAAGTCGTTTGTGATTATTTGCAATATCCTCTTAGGAAGCGTAAAACCACAAAGTACAACTAACTCATAAATCCCAAACCGAAAAGGTCTTTAAAGAACCCTGTGGCACACAGTTTCAATATAAGATGCTCTGTGCTCTCTAGAAGCGTAACTTATGGGGGACCTACTCAGTGTGGCGTGCACGCATGCGCACGCACACACACACACACACACACACAGAGTAATATACCTCTGGACAGGCAACAGCCTGTAACAACGTTGCCAGGAAGGCAGAGGCAACATCATCATTCCCACATTTGCTAAGTGAGAAATGAGAACTAGTCCTGGCTCAGATCATGGTGAGTTACTGAACTTCCTGAAACTTATTTTCCTCATCCATAAATGGGTTTGAATGAGAAGGTGAATCTGCTCTGCAAATATAAAATGGTGTTCCTTTTGTACTCTTAAAAGTGGTTTCAATCAAAAAGTTTCAGTGATAAAAACTCCACAGAAATGTAATCTTTAATAATGTTCAATTTAGAGATTAGGAAACTCTACTAAATAAACGTATCCTTCCCACTCTCAGTCATTTGGTCATTGTTTGCACTCATTCAATGTTCTTGCAGCACGGCAGCTATAACAAGGCACCTCTAGAACTGCAGAAAATGGGCCCCTTCCACATGCACCCCAATGTTTACAGCAGCAATGTCCACCATAGCCAAACTATGGAAAGAGCCTAGATGTCCATCAACAGATGAATGGATAAAGAAGATGTGGTATGTATACACACACACACAATGGAATATTACTCAGTCATCAAAAAGAATGAAATCTTGCCATTTGCAATGACGTGGATGGAACTAGAGGGTATTATGCTAAGTGAAGTAAGTCAGAGAAAGACAAATACCATATGATTTCACGCATATGTGGAATTTAAGAAACAAAACAGATGAACATAGGGGAAGGGAAGGAACAATAAAATAAGATGAAAACAGAGAGGAAGACAAACCATAGAGATTCTCTCTTTTTTTTAAAGATTTTATTTATTTATTTGAGAGAGAGAATGAGAGAGAGAGAGCATGAGAGGGGGGAGGGTCAGAGGGAGAAGCAGACTCCCTGCTGAGCAGGGAGCCCGATGTGGGACTTGATCCCAGGACTACAGGATCATGACCTGAGCCGAAGGCAGTTGCTCAACCAACCGAGCCACCCAGGCGCCCAAACCATAGAGACTCTTAACCATAGGAAACAAAACTGAGGGTTGCTGGAGGGGAGAAGGGTGGGAGGATGGGTTAACTGGGTGATGGGCGTTAAGGAGGGCACGTGATGTAATGACCGGTGGGTGTTATATGCAACTGATGAATCACTAAATTCTACCTCCGAAACGGGTAACACGGCATACGTTAACTACATTGAATTTAAATAAAAATTAAATTAAATTTACCAAAAAAAAAAAAAAAAGAAAGGAAGAAAGAAAGAAAAGGGACCCCTTGTCTGATAGCTTCTACCAACACCCCCAAGATCCCTAGGGGGTGTGCAAATCCACTTCACTCCAACCAATCTGACTATTAGACTTGTTCCCCGACCAGAAAGAATTTTTAATCTCGCACAGGAGAAGAAACAGATAACGACTAATTGTAATGTAAGATGGTCTATTGAAAATTCAAGAAAAGAAATACTACAGAATGCTATGGAAGGTCACAGATAATTTCCCCCACAGAAAACATTTAAACTCTTGCTTTTGTGAATGATGGAATAAAGACTCTTTGAGGGGATCCTAAAGAAAACAGGGAATTTCATCAAGTGGAGACAGAGGGAAAGATCATCTGCGGATGGCAAACACGGGGCAGGGCCAAGGTTATCAAGTGGTCAGTGCCGCCTAGAGATGAATGTGGAAAGGCAGCATGGAGCCAGATCAGGGACAACCTTGAACATAACGACCTTTAAAATGAGATTACTTTATTTGGTTATTACTTGTACAGCTGCATAAACTAAGAATTACATTTGTTTGCATATTTGATTTTACCTCCCAGTGTATAACTCTACTAATTATATCAGGAACATATGTTTTTTTAATATGGAAATTATCAATTATTCAACTGACACAGTAGCCAGAAATCTTAACGTTTACTTCTGAAGGAACACTAAGGTATCAGTTTAAGTGGAAGCTCATCATTACTAGTTTTTTTCTTCCCAAACCACATCATTCTTATTTTCTTCAACTGTTACATAAAAATTATTTAAAGCCTTGATTTTATTTCACTTAGTTTTTATTCTTAACTGCTAGCATAATTGAGTGATTGCTTTGTGTCAGGCACCTTGTGTATTATCTCATTTAAGCCTCCTCAGAACAACACGAGCTGCCTGCAGCCACTCTTGTGGAAGGTGCTGGAAGTGGGATACAAACCCTTGTCTGAAACCAGAGGACAGATTCTTAGCAACTATAGCAATTCTCTCTCTCATGGTCAGGGAAAGATGTATAAAGTAAAAGGTAGCAAGAAAAGGGGGGGAACCCAAAATTTTCAACTTATTACATTTAATAAGGTTACATTTAATGTTTTACTTTAATTGTAAGGAAAGAGGAAAGGAAGAAAGAAAACTATACTAGAACCTTTCCATAAGATGGTCCTCCATGGACATGCCATGAAACTGACTTAACTAGACTCCCTTGGGATTTGGTCCAAGATGGATCACACGCACACCAAATTCACCGAAGAATGGTAAGGCTCTAGTGAGCACCAAGACAAAAAGTTCAGAGAACTAAAATTTTTAATCCATCCACAACTGCAAGTGCTTGGCAAGTCATATCCTTCCAAATTACCTTCGAGTCCTTTGCATAATAAAGTGTACGGCCTCGAAGTTTGAAGTAACGCTTTTTCCATCTTTGGAAGGAACTGGTTTGCTTCAATAGTTGTCCCTCTTTAATACTGGTCTGGGGAGAAACAGAAGCACAACAACATGATTAAAATGAAATTCAGAACCAAATAAAATTCAGAATTAATGACACACCATCAGTGACATTTTAAATATTATTTCCCAGGTTCTAGAAATTACACGAGAGAATATCTTCTTCTTTCTGTCCAACGAAGGGAGGACGTGTGCAAAGCCTCATGGACAAAGGTAAATCTGACATGGTTCCCTGACCTCCAAGTAGTCACAAATAATATGGGAGACACATGCACCAAACTAATACTTACGATTCAGTGTGACGGTACACTGCCTTTTATAGAGGAATTATTTTACCTCCCAGTGTATAACTCTACTAATTATATCAGGAACATACCTTTTTTAATATGGAAATTATCAATTATTCAACTGACACAGTAGCCAGAAATCTTCACATTTACTTTTGAAGGAACACTAAGGTATCAGTTTAAATGGAAGCTCATCATTACTCGTTTTTTTCTTCCCAAACCACATCATTCTTATTTTCTTCAACTGTTATATAAAAATTATTTAAAGCCTTGATTTTATTTCACTTAGTTTTTATTCTTAACTGCTAGCATAATTGAGCGATTGTTTTGTGTCAGGCACCTTTATTATTCATCTGGAAAATGCGGATGACACCGCGACATACCTTATAGGGTTGTTGTAAGGAATACATTAAAAACATAGAAAGGACTTATTGCACGGCATATAGTAAGTGCTCATTAAATGTTATCAGTAGCTATGTGTTATTTTAACGAATGTAGTCAAAGCACTATGCATGGTGGTCCAGAGAAGGAAGCATCAGCTCCTTTAGAGGGAGGCAAAGAAGTCTTCCCAGAGGATAGCCAAGGGTGGGTCTGAAAGGAGTTTATCAGAATGACAAGGGATGGCGAAGCCTATTTTGGTGTGTGCAAAAGTAGAAAGGTTTAAAACAGTATGCATATTTGGGGAATCTTCAAAGAACTTTCAGTTATAAATGCAGGGTAGGTTTTGCGGTGCGGGAGCAGCAGGGGATGTGGCTGGAGAAGGTAGGCAGGGGCTCTGTGATTCTGGGCCAAACTCTGTGCTGAGTGCTTCATATATGAAGTTCATTTCATTATCACCAACAAGATACTTAGAACCCGCTGGCCTCATCTAGTATCTCTCCCTCCCTTTGGCCCCCTGTCCACAATGGTGCTTTGCTTTTAAGTGGCCATGCATGCTCCTCTTAGGTCTGGATGCCACCTAATTTCTCCTCTTGGGCTGCTCTTCCTTCAGATATCTGTCTGACCAACTCCTTCACACACTTCAAGTCTTGACCTTCTCAGTGAGACCCACCTCACTGACTTATTTAATACCACAACGCAATCCCCAATTTCATCTTATTTACTCCCTCACACAAAGTACTTACTTTCCTCTTCTATGTATAATGTAATTTGCATATTTATTATGTTTATTGTGCTACCCCTATTAGAATAGAATTTACCTGAGTTTGTTACGTCTAATAAAGTTAAATTCAATGTTTCACTAAGGAAGAAGGAAACTACACTTATAGTAAACTAAACTTACAGTCTGCCTCTGAGATTGTCCTTAGGAGACATGTCATGGGACTGACTCAAATAGATCCCCTTGGGATGGGGTCCAAGAGGGGTCAGTCACATTTATTCTGAATTCATAAAGGAGCAGTAATGCGATGGTGAGTCTCCAGGACAAAAACAGCTCATAGAACCAAAATTTTAAATCCATCCCACTGGATTGCCCACTGATGTATCTCAAGTACCAAAAAATTATCGAGCACACACAAAATTCAGATCTATATGAATGAATAGCGGGTACTGAGGTAAAACTCATGTCTGCTTGACTCCAGAGCTTATTCCCAATTTCTACACTATACCGTCTTTCATTATCAACAAGACATAAAATATTGAGAAAAATGTGTTGTCACCAGTAAGGTAGTCAAGTTATATTAACATTTACTTTCAGTGTCAATGAGAGATTTTCCCCATCGCTTGCTCTGAGACTGTCTTCCAGGAATTGTAAATTTTTAACGATAACAAAGTATTTTTGCAATTTCGTACCAAAGAGCTCGATTTGGAGTCAGACAGACAGACTTAAAGCCAGGCTCCACGACACACTGAAAATAGGAAGCTGGGCAAGTTGCTTCAACAATCTGCCCAAGTTTCCTCTCCTGAAATACAGGAATAATAATACCAACTTCACAAGCTTGCTGCATCTAATTTAATTATACGATAATGGCTGGAGAGCACTTAGCACACTGTCTGGGTTACAGAAAATATTCAATAAATGGCAGAAAGTGTTATTATTATGATATCATTATGCTATTAAGTTCAGGGAGTATTTGCCAGGCACCAAATTCGAAGAGCTTCTTGGAAGAAGAGAGTAAGTGTTTGCAGGCCACTCTGAGGGCAAATAACAGCTGGAGCAGAAGGAGAGTGTCAAGAAATGAGGTCAGGGGAGATTAGAGCCAGGAGAGGCGGCCACCATGGGGAGCTCGCTTTTTATTGTAAGTGCAAAAAGCTAGTGAAATGTTTGAAGCAGGAGAGCGAGAATGGGGAAATGTCCAAGGGAGAGACGCTAGGGGCTCGAGTGCAGGTTGTCGCATCACTGAAATGCAGAGAAGTAGAGCAATTTGGAGGCAGAATCCGCTGGACTTACTGATAGGCATCAAGGGCAAGAGAGAGAAGAAGGACCAAGGAAAAGTCTAAGTTGTTGGCTTGGGCAACTAGATGCGAGAGACCGAGAGAAAGGGGTATAGGAGGAGTGACTGGTGAGTGGCGTCGCTGGTGTTGCTGGACTCATCTGGTGTCACCCCGGGGAGACAGTCATCATTCTTAAACACAAAGTACTGAAATACTGTAAAAATATAACTTACCCAAAGAACAAACCATTTGTTCTAGAAGTGAATGTATTGGGATTTTTGTAAAGTTTTGTTTAGGGCAATGAGGAAGAGAACTTCATGTTTGGTCTACTTAGGTTCTATAAGCACTGTCTAAGGGAAGCGTCAATAACCTACTTCATTCCCCACATGGTTATCAGAGTGATTTTCCAAAATGAAAACCTGATTATGTTATACCACAGCTTAATTCTCTTTCGCCTGCAGCAGGAAGCCCAAACTTCCATACGTACCATAGAAGACCCTGCATCATCTCTCCAACCTCATCGCCCACCCCTGCCCACGCTCCTCCCTCGGCCATAAATGGCCTTTCCTCAACTGGTCCGTCCTGAAAACTCCTCTTCATCTCAACTCGGATCCTCTTCATCTCAACTCAGAAGCCCCTGGCTTCCCTGCCCCCGAGGAAGAAGTAACTCACCCTACCTTTGTCCCTCTGAGGTGCCTTACCCCCTCTGTATAACAGCATCTGTGACACCAGATAGCATCGGTTTACATGTGCGTGGTCCAGCCACGCTGTGAGCTTCCTCAGAGCAGAGACGGCACCCCACACCATCTAACACAGTGGCCGACACCTTAGGGCCTCTGTAAATGTTGCACTGAACAACTTTTAGCTAAATGTAAAACAGTATGTCAGATAACTTTGTATTTTAAAAGAATGAAAGAATGAGAAAACCAGGCCCCGTGGTTGGATATGATCTTACGTTTTCCAGCATTCAGCAGGTCTGAGCCTGCTTCTTCTCACGCATATAAAAACAGCAGATACGATGCACAAAGGTGTATGTGCCCTGGGGTGCACTCCCTGGGTGAGGGGTTGGGGAGGGATGGAAAGAGAACAGGAAAATGTCAATCTATCCTGATTGCTAATTTAGAGATGATCCTTACATAGTCACTTTCGAAGCAATAGTTCATATATTTTTTTTTCTATATCACTTTATGTTCTTTAAATCTTGCATAAGCATGGATTAATCTGCAATGTGTGAGGCTGTGGGGGAATACAAAGATGTGTAAGATATAGTCCTTATCTTCATGCATTTACAAACTTCTTTATGTTACATGGTTAATTTTAAATTCTAAAAAAAAGAAAAAACATTCTGAGGCTAGTTTACTTTCTTCTAAGAGATGGGATTTAAAATATTTAACTAGAAGGCAGTTATTCACATGAAAGTCAATCCTCAAAATAAACTTGTTTATATATGGCTAGTTAAACAAACACTTCTTATAAAAGTAGGAGCATAACAAAAAAATGATTAATTTGCAACAGCTCTAGAAAATATAATCATATTATCAAAGTATGGTTCAGAGAAAAACATGTGTGGGTCCAAAAATCTCAAAATACTGCATATACTAAGTGAATAAACAAGCAACCATTCTTTAAAATCATAGTATTTATTATGTTCAATGTTGATGTTCAACTAGAATAACAATTTGAAGTTGGGAACAGATATAAGAAAGTTATGATAAGAGAGTTATGTTTCAGAACCTGTTAAAATTAAGTACAAAATTTTAGTTTTAATTTCCTCACAATCTCCTGGATAAGGGATAAACTCTCCTCCATCAAAAAAGGGCTTAGAACGTTTACATTTAACTGACATTTAGTCATATAACCTGGCACATATTAGTTCAGTACTACCCAACACTTATGAAAAATCAGTGAAGCCATGGAGACTTAACTGTAATCCAATAACCCAGTTTCCAGATGTTAAAAACACAAAGTTCAATGAACTTGGCTTTGAAAAAAGATTATTTAAATCAAATAAACTTTAAGTTGAAAAATTTCTTATCTAGCTGGCTTTCAAAGGAGGTTTATAGTCTAATGTCTTAAGGCTGTGGAATTGTTCATTCCATGTTCCCTGTGTAGCTCAAACAAAAGTCATTTCTCTTTTAAAATAACACACACACACACACACGGGTGCTCTATGATTTCACCTACAATTTCAGAAACACTTGGTGTGCCACAAGTTGAAGCTACTTGGATGGAATACTACTTGAACGTCTCAAGGAGAGCACAGTTTTAATAATCACTCAATGAGCCATTTTGTAAAGCTAAGAATTTTTGAAAAATCAGTTACTGCCTGATTTATCTGATAAATGCACATTTTCGCATGCTGACT